GAAGTAGCAAATGGTGAAAAACACTTTACACTAGCAATAAATAAACAGAGCTTTGAAGATCCAGCCTGTGCCCCGCTCATTCCGTCAGCTTTTATACTGTGAAAACATATACAAAATTTAATGTGCTTTATTTGAATTTTTTTTTTTTTTCCTATTATTATTATTATTATTCAGTCACTTAATCTAAAACCAGCTTTGTAAAGTGACTCAAAAAAATTTTGCATCGTTACTGATTTTTAGCATTGTAAACTTTAAAAACAGAGTCTTTAAAATTACGTGCATAATTATCGTGTGTGAGAAGCACACTGCAACTCAACGAGCGGCTGTTAAAGATGTATTCTAAGTTAAGACAGACAAAATTTGAAATTGTTAATTTAATGTTATCTGAAATATGTATATTGTATATTCGTCTATATGTGGCCTCTTTATTGAGTTACTCTATTTTTTTTTTTTTTTTTTTTTTTTTTTAATGCTGGTTCAGATCGAAGGAGATACTGTCACTCCAGGAAGAAAATGTTGGCTGAATTTTGATATTTCAACTGAAATAAAAACCTTTAAAAAAATGAAGTTAGTTTTTTAACATGGCATCATTGCCAAAACTGGGATCTGTATTTTATGTAATATGATATAATTTGTTTGAAATAGATTTGAATATCATATTTATTATTGAATTTGAATTAAGCATATAAACTTAACATTATTGTAGTAAAGGCCACTGAAACATTGACATTGTGTATGCGAAAAACGTTCAACATTGAGAGCGTCAATTACTAAATTCTGTTCAAAGATTGGAGCTGAAATTGCAAAAATAGAAGTAACTGCCGCTGATAGTGAGCTTGAGCTTTTCTTAGAACAATTAAACGACAAATTTGAATGTCTTAAATTTGTAGATACCGAAATAGAAAAGTTAGTAGATCCCAAAGGTCTTGATAAAGAACTTGAATCCGCCAACGAATACAGATAAAAAATCATTACATGGAGATTCATAGCAAATAAATAATTACGATGTATGAATCAAATGAATAAGTCATTCGACCCTCCCCATTCTTCACTTAATTTGGATGCAAATCCTCAGCAAACGCTTAAATGTGAAATTACCTAACATAACAATTCCAAAATTTTATGGAAAGTTAAGTTATTGGCTTACATTCTGGAACTCATTCGAAAAATCGATACGTAATAACAAATCACTTGACGATGTTAGCAAATTCAGTTATTTAAAAGCCCGTTTAGCTGGAACTACTTTGGAAACTATAGAATGTTTTTCTATTTCAAATGACAATTATAAAAAATCTGTTTCTTTGCTTGAACAAAGATTCAGAAGAAAAGCAGTTTTGATAAGCACCCACATGAACCAATTACTAGAATTACACAATGACGTAGGGAATTTTCGGAAATTATTTGATAAGATTCCTATTAATATTGGAAGCTTAGAGTCATTAGGTGTGTCGTCAACAGCCTTAAGCTCATTGTTATCTCCCGTAATTTTAAAGGCATTACCAAATGATTTAATAAAGAATTAGGAGATGAATATTCTATTAAGGATAATTGGCTTTTGCACAAACAGTTAATGGCTAAAGAAAAAACAGAATTATACTTTTCATAAATCTCCAATACATTCTTATGCGAACTTATTTAATTCCAGACAGGCAGGCGTCTCGTGACAGCTTCTGAGCTTTTAGCAAGCAATGAGGCCTTCAGATCTAAACATTGTACCTTCTTAGACTTCGACTAATGACCAGGCTATTGCTGGGTGGTTCATGAAATGAAGCCCGAAGGCACATGACGTAATGAACTCTGAACGTGGTTGCAATCTAGGAAGAGAAATCCAAGGATAGGAAAAGAGATGAGGGACCAAGGCTGAAAATAATCATGTAAATGACTCAGTACTTGATGAGAGTGAAGAGATGACCAATAAGTACAGTGAACGAGCAGATTGGATAATAAATAGAATAACCAAGATACTATATACCAAATACAATCAGTAAATATACATACAAATCCAAAAATCCTACAATGAAAACTATAAAAATAATCAATACAAGTTCAAATGCAGGAATTTTTTCAAACAGTTAAAAAATCAACCTAAGTTGAAGTCAGATAGATGGGGAAAGTATAGACAACCACCGACCCAGGAGCTAGGTAATAAAATTCTGGGCGCCTTCCATGATAGTGTGTGCAGCAAGACGTCGTATGTTTCTATTTTCAGAGAGTATCTCGTAGTTGAAGACCTGTGAGTAATTTACAAAGTCACATTGAACAGCCTTTGTAAAAAATTTCTTATTAGTCCTTTTGATATAGTCAGTAGTAGTTTCAATTTTTAAATCTCTGCGATGGAGTTCATTCCTGATAAGATAATCGGCGTCGGTGATGATGCTTATAGAAATTTGTTTTGTACCACTAGCAGCTGGTGAAGTTCATTCCTTGTGGCCCTGTTCCATGCTGGAGCAGCATAACATAAAATAGGTCTTATGCACGTAGTATAGATGTGCCTTTTAGTGTGTAGGCTAAAATTAGAATATTTCCCAATAACAGGAAGGAATCTACGCATAATACCAATAGGTTTACTCTTGACGCTTTTAATGTGATTAGCCGAAGTCAGTCTTTGATTCAGTATAATGCCTGTTTAACTAAAGAAACTGGTTCTTGAAACAAGAAGAGTTCTTTGAAATTTATATGTTTTCTGGTCTTGCTAAGGATTAACAATTAGGATTTACTTGTGTTAATCTTGACATGCGAGTTAGTACACCGGTCTTCTACTGAGTAAAGATAATTTTGCATTTTGGTAATAGCTTGATTTGCTTTGATAGATGTGATGGCTAGCGCCGTATTGCCGGCGTAGCAGGCAAGCAGAGAATAATTGTCCAGTCCGGGATATGGAAAATCTGATGTTTAAAAAAGATAAAGAACAGGACTTAAGATACTGCCTTGAGGCATGCTTGCCGAAGTTTCTTGGTAAGGAATCGCATTTTAGCAAGGATTGTTTATACAAAAAGGTTTGCCATTTGGAAATAAAAAGTCGCTCCTGATTGAAAATCGAATTTGTTTCCGGTGCTTGAAATGTGAACTTATTTCTTCTCGATGTTAATTAAAGGTTGTTGTGTAGCGAAAGACATTTGGAAATAATGTGTTACTCGAATAAAAAAAAAACAGCTTAGGAATAATGAATGAGGCAAAAGAAGTTACTCAGAACACTGCCCTTTCGAATAATAATTGTACAAATGAAGTTTATCTTCAAGGTCTGGGATTTTTTGCCGTCAAGACATATTTTTCTTTACATGACTGTTCTTTATCTTGCCGTATTATAGTCGAATTAAATTTATTCTTTTAATAATTGTGTTTACCTCAGAGTCGTAGCTAGGGTTTTCAGCGCCCAGGGACAACTGAAGATTTCGCGCCCCCTACTGCTTGCCAAGGATGGAAAACATTTAATTCTAAAATGTCGTAACATCAGTTTGGCGCCCCTTGGATTCTGCGTCCGGGGACAGATGTCCCCCTCTAGCTACGCCCCTGGTTTACCTTTTATATACTTAATAAAGGTTGCTTTTATTATACTGTCAAGTCTGTAAAGTCTTTAATCCGGACTAGTCGGGACTTCGGCGATTCCGGATTATAGATCATCAGTTTAAATCTGGTAAGATGGCATGCAGAAATTATAAAATTAAAAATATGAAACCGTAATTTATAAAATAATGAGCAATTATGATCTAAAGGGTATCAAAATTTACAAAAAAAAGCTTAATATTTATTTGTTTACTTTATTAAACATTTCTTTCAACGCGCGCATGCGTAAAGCATTTACGCATAGTCCGAAATTAGAAAATTGCAACCAGAAAAACTATTTGATGTGTATTCGTGATATTTATAATGACGAGGAATTTGATTTAAATCATATCAAAGATGAATACATCGAGATGAAATACTACATTTAGTAAGGAATTATAAGCCGAATAAAATAAAAACATCTGCCCTGAAGATAAGGATAGTGCTGACAGATCAACTTCCAGTTCATTGCGCGCCGCGACGTTCCCCCCCCCGCAGAGCAGCGTGAAATTGATAAACAGATTTCGGAACGGTTAGATAAACAAAGGATATGCCTTTATCCATTTTTTGCAGCAATTCCACTTTTTGTTTGATGGACATCGAAACATACTTTCGTTTTGTAGATCCTTTGGGAGCTCCAGCATCGGAAATTCTATTTGACATAATCGAAAGTTCAAGCTTACTTTTATAAAATTGCTCTTACAGTCTGCAAAAAATAATAAGCCGGATCCAATTCGAAGATTAAGGAACAACGCAATCTGCAACATTAACTGAAATAGATAATTTTAGCTTATACCGTTCGTTATACATTAAACGCGCACACGAAAACGTATTCTACGCTTGCGCAGACGCATATGCGCAGTCATAAATGTCTTGCGCGCACGCGTAAAACGCCTATGAGCATGCGCAAAAAGATTTTAGCTTTGAGGTCCGGATTATAGATCATTCTGGATTATGGGTGTCCGAATTAACAACTTTTGACTGTATATAGTTATTTACAAGTAGGAGATATAAAGAAATTACACTCACTTAGTTGGAAAATTATGTCAATATCAAAGAGAACTGGGGCTAAACTTCTGATATAACAGAAGTTATATTATCGATTTTAAAATCATGCGGGGACAATTTTTCATGATTTGTCAAAATATCTTGAAAATTTAATCGGCTAGTTAGTTCAGAGAAATCACTCATACAAGCAGGACATTCACATTTTTATGAAATCTGAATGGAAAACGGAATAACCTTAGAATCTTGTCAGCACCTTACTTTCTTAAAATTAATATGTCATGTGTAACGGTGTATTTGTATAAAACAGTACACAAAAACATTTTATGTATTATTTTAAATAAAATATTTATTAAATTATTAAACTCAACAGAGTTTATTAACTTAAATAATATAATTACGCCAAGATATAATATAGTGGTGTAAAGAAAATACCTTTGAAACGACTTGCAATGAAACTGAAAGATTCATTTTATGTAGATAATTGTCTTGCAAGTATTGACTCTGTTGCTTACCTAGAATATTTCAAAAGAGAGTCTCAAAAAATTCTAAAAGCAGATAAATTTGATTTATGTGGATGGAGAAGTAATTATCTTCTCCAAATTCCAGATTCCTTCAGAAATAGCTCAGCTTATGTAGATGAAACGATATATCGGTTTTAGGTCTCACCTGGGATACTAAGAATGACACTCTGTCTTGCCAATTGATAGAAACTGAGAAGAACAACGAACCGATTATTAAACGAAAAATTTTGTCGAAAGCACATCAATTATTTGATCCCATAGGTTTCACTTGCCCGATAACGTTAATTCCTAAACTGCTTCTTCGGGAATGCTGGAAGTTGGGAATCTCATAGGTTCTAAATTAGCAAAAGATTTGAAAAATGGGAAGATTAGTTACCAAAAATTAAAATTCTCAAGATACTTCATAAACTATCTAACTTAGATCTAAGTGACTCCGACGCAACATTGCATACATTTTTGTGACGCGTCTAAGTTTGCATATGTAACTTGCATATTTTTCTTAGACCTAAAAAGGAGGGAAAAGTAACTTGTCAATTAAAGCGTCACCTATTTCTATGTTGTTACGTTATCAAAAAAGGTTTCTACTCAAGAAAGTGTAATTATCTTCAAAAAATGGAAAACCAAATTTAAAAGTGGTGCCTGTTTGTAATTTGCTGAGACGGAACTGTTGTATTAGAAACGTCACATTTGCATTAAGTCGTAACATTCACGTACTCGACTACTCGAGCTTTGCATCTGGATCTCGTTTCGGACCTGACAACTGATAAGTTCATCATGGCACTTCAGATGTTTATCGGTCGACGAGAACTCCCCCACACCATCTATACTGACAACGCCACCATTTTCGACGCCGCAAAGAATTGGCCTGTTTCTGCAATACAAGAACGGCTAATACTTTCCAAGATTTTTAAAGTAAAATTGATAAAAAATGCATTTAGAAATCTTATGCTATTACAGGAGCAACCTGATCTGCATTGAATAAATGGCAGACTACAGTATTACATTGCTTTCATTCTAGCATCAACTTATACTGCTTATCAAAATTAAGAAGATTAATAAATTAAGAATTAAGTTAATTATAATAATTATATAATAAATTATAATATAATAAATAATAAATATGATATTAATAATAAATAATCAAGTTATATTAATAAATTAATAACTAAGAAGATTAATAAAGCTGGGTTATAAGAGTTTGTTGTTGTTGTTATCAAAATTAAAGGATATTGATCGAAATAAAACTATTTACTGAAATCTACCGAAACACAATTCCCTATAATAAGCACAAAAGCATTATTTAGTATCCATATCACTATTTTTGGCAGTTTATTAATTTCATCTCATAAAACATGAAATATTTATTTTCCAGTATATGAAAATTTTAAAAGATGCAAACATTATCTTTCCTTTTTTGCAACAAATCTTTCTTTTATAAGGTATATGGAAATGCAAACCTCATATTCTGATTTCACAGCATTTATATCCGAAAGTTAGTTTTCAAATCTTGAAGGTTGACCTAAGGCATTTGACACATTCTGATTCAGTATCAAGCCAAGTGAGCATGCTGGTCAATTCGTTCGAGTGATATCTTCTGTTTCTTAGTGTTGTGACATCAGAGCTGCTCGACGCGGAAGAACGTTGTCGCCATTATCAAAAAATATGAATCAATATTGTACTTAAACAACCATACCCATACCAAATCGTTTACATATTTATGACCGCTTCCGGAACCTCCATGAAAGATACGAAACGAGATGCCCAAACTATGAAACCGCTTCCTTCAAAATAGGATCTTTCATGAGCAAGAAAACAACAAACAAGTAGCGTGTTTCTTGCACCTTCTAGCTCAAGGCACATTTAGAATTACAGTTCAGGTTTTATCTAGATTCGTCTGTAAGTATCACGTGGTTTCATTCCTATTGGTAAGCATTTAACATGACGAAGACATCAGCTTAAACGGGCTCCTTTGAAAGATGAAGTGAATGGGTGAGAAACCGTTGGTTTTTCTCCAATAACGTCGAACTTCGTGAACTATTCTTTCAGAAGTAGAACTGTTAATAAAATGATATGAGTGCCTGTAACAATTTAAAGGGTTAAACAATTCACTTGCAGTCGGTTTACGGTTTTTTTCGAGAGAAAAATAACAAAATTATCTTCCGATGGTGTTGTTGCTCTTGGCCGCACTTGATGAGGCTGTATACTAATTCGATTAATTTAATTGCAGCATAAAATGCGGTTCCAAGCTTTTGGCGCATTGAGAAGCCCTCGAATTTCCATCAACTTTCATTTATGTTCACCCACTCCTCCGGTCTATCAGTTGAAATCACATCTTTGCCCTTGCCTTCAATCTTTGCCCTTCGTCGCTGAACACTGGTAGTTCGGTCCAGGGTTTGAATCCGGGCCAATGAACTGGCTGCATGGGCGTTTTCTTGGTTTCTCCCGTGTGTAACATATATTACACGAAGGCATCCCTTCTTTTAAGCAAACAGACCTCGAGATAGCTTTACCATAATCAAATAAAACAATCTCAAATGACGCCTCTGAATCATAACTAACGAATACGCATCATTCATGAAAAACATATCACACAACCTTACAAACTTGAATTCTAATATCTAATATCAGCAGGAGTTCAGACTCTAGCGTTTCTACAACCGTCAAACAAACAGATTATTGTTCGTCGCGTATAAAATACAGGTCTGCTTTCTGATTCCCATAACTGATCTGCTAAGAGATACATTCACAAACTTTTCGTTGTTATTTTGGCTACAGAAACTTCTAAGTGTGTCATATTATAAGCGAAGTCAATGCTTAATCCACCTGTAAAACTTAATACCATATTCTGAAAAATTTCGTTTTAAATTCCTCTAAGACTAACTTGCGTATATAAAAAATACCTAGACTTTCGCTTTCATCATTTAATCTTCTGTAACATTATAAGCTGTACAGAATAAAAATAAAAGACATTTTTTATTCATATTAACTATTAACCTGTTGATTCATGAGTAAATTATATGCGAGTAAAATTTTTAACTTAGAAGGGCAATTTAGCATACTAAATTGCCCTTCTAAGTTAAAAATTCAGTTTACCGATCAATAAAACTTCGTTATATTAAATTACAGTCTAATTATAAGTAATATATTAGTAATATATTTTCTTCTAAAATGATAGTAGTGAGAATGTTTTTATTTTTCAGTTAAACCATGGATATGTCCTGGGCCAAAAAGAAGTGAAAAGAAACAAGTACGAAAAGTTGAGAAAAGTCATACAAATTCTGCGATATGTTTCAGAACGCTAAAGAGTAGCAAATTGGAATATAAAGTATGCGAACCCGTAATAACTAGACATACTGAGCTTTCTTCAGAATTGGTGGTTCAGAGTTCGGAAATTACTACATGCGACGAATCGCGTAATGAACAGCAGCAACTGATAGATTCGCCTGAAGAGGTAGTATATGGACGAAGAGATGGGCTGACAGATTCGCCTGAAGAGATAGTATATGGACGAGGAGACAATGAATCGCGTAATGAACAGCAGCAACTGATAGATTCGCCTGAAGAGATAGTATATAGACAAAGAGATGATGAATCGCGTAATGAACAGCAGCAACTGATAGATTCGCCTGAAGAGATAGTATATGGACGAAGAGATGATGAATCGCATAATGAACAGCAGCAACTGATAGATTCGCCTGAAGAGATAGTATATGGACGAAGAGATGATGAATCGCATAATGAACAGCAGCAACTGACAGATTCGCCTGAAGAGATAGTATATGGACGGAAAGATGACGAATCGCGTAATGAACAGCAACTGATAAATTCGTTTGAAGAGATAGTATATGGACGAAGAGACAACGTATCGTGTAATGAACAGCAGAAACTGATAAATTCGTCTGGAGAGATAATATACAGAAGAAGAGACGACGAATCGCGTAATGAACAGCAGCAAGTGATAGATTCGTCTGGAGAGATAATATACGGACGAAGGTACGGTGAATCGCGTAATGAACAGCAGCAAGTGATAGATTCGTCTGAAAATATACAATATGGACGAAGAGACCAGAGTGCGGAATCATCAGGAGCCTCTAATTCATTGATAGTGAAAGCAGTTGACGATAATGAATGCGTTGCTACTGTTTCGTCTTCAAGTGGGGACTTGATTGTAAGGAATAAAATATCAGTTCTGCATACAAAAAATACTAAGTTTTCCCGAAAATGGGACAAAAAGTATTACTGTCCATATTGTGAAATACCTTTCGGTAAACTAGTACGACATATGGAAAAAGTACATGCAGATGAATCGGAAGTGCAGTTTATTTTAGCTGCAAAGAATAACACAAGCATTTCTAAGCGAAAAAGAGAACGTATGATATGCAAATTACGAAATATAGGAAACCACAAGCATAATATAAACGTACTGGAAAGAGGAGGAGAACTAATTGTAGTTTATAGGCCGTCAATCAATGTTAATGTTGATCCATGTAATTACGTACCATGCCCAACATGTTATGGATATTATGGGAAAAAAGAATTATGGAAGCATAAGTGCTTTTTTAAAGGGGAACGGAAACGACGAGAACGAGTAATTCAAGCGGGTAGGAATCTTCTTCCATTTCCATCACATGTCGAACAAAATGTGAGAGAAATTTTTTTGAGTATGCGACAAGATACAATTTATGCTATTGCTAAATATGATCGAGTTATATGCGAATATTTGCGTCGCATGTTTTACGCAAAAGGAGGGCACGAAATTCATAGGAAAGCACAGATAAGGAATAATATTCGTGAAATAGCACGTTTATTACAAGAAGCGCGTAGAGTAATTTCAAATGAATCATGCACCTTACAAGATCTAATTGATCCGTCGGAATATTCTAATATAATCACAGCTGTGAAAAATGTAACAGGATATAATGAAAATGATCAAAAGTTTTTGAGACCGGAACTTGCAAGAAAATTAGGATTACATTTAAAAACATCTGCATCAATAGTTCAAGGATTTGCGCTCACTGACAATAATCGTCAGCTTCTTGAAAGAAGTGAAAATTTTCTAAAGTTGCACAACACAAAATTTTACTCTGAAATTGGAGCTCAAGTGCTCCGTAACAGAAACGAAAGTAAACTTAATATGCAAAAATCTTCTCCCGCTTGGTAAAGATGTAATAAAATTAAATAAATATTTAAAATTTCTATCAGAAGAGAATATGAAAGTGTTGGAAGATAAAAGAGTATCAAAATCACGACTGATTGAAGCGTGGACATGTTTACAAAAAGTGACGTTGGTTCAAATAATAATTTTCAATAGAAGACGAGAAGGAGAAGTGTCCCGCATGAAAATTCAAGATTACGAAAATCGAAAAGCCTCTAAAGAGAGGTCAGACATTGAAAATACCTTAACCCCAACAGAGAAAGCATTATGTCAGTTTTTAACAAGAATCGAAATTCGAGGTAAGTGTGATAGAAATGTCCTAGTGTTGCTTATTCCGAGTATGAAAAAGGCGATTGACATTTTGCTGAAATGAAAAAGGCGATTGACATTTGCGAAAAAGGGTAGGAGTGTCAAAAGGAAACAAGTATCTTTTTGCCAGTTGCAGATACGGTGTTAAATTACACTACCGGGAATCCGTATGTTTAAGAAAATTTGCTGAAGATTCTGGAGTTAGTTCCCCCAAATTTCTGAGATCTACTAAACTAAGGAAACACGTAGCTACGTTATCACAAGTTCTAAATTTGAAAGTTAATGAGTTGGATGTATTAGCCAAATTTATGGGGCATGATATTAGAATTCATCGAGATTATTATCCCCTACCGGACAACGTTCTCCAAGTAGCAAAACTTCCAAAATTATTTTTAGCTTTGGATAAAGGACAGTTGCAGAACAATACAGGAAAATCTCTAGACGAAATACAAGTGTCACCAGAAGAAGGTGAGTGGAGTTATGGTTACTGAAATTATTATTAGAGAACTAACTACATGAATAAATTTAGAAGTCAAACAACAAAACTCAGCGTTATAAACGCTGAGTTTTGTTGTTTAACTTCTAAATTAACACTTGTTTGGGGTCTTATTGTAGCTTAATTAATTATATAAATATTCATTTAAATAGTTAGCAGTGGTATCAGGTATATATATATACATAACAGGAACACCACTGAAAATATTTAAGAACTTAATTCAGAGTTATGTCCCCTTAACTAATTTACATATATCTAAAATGTTAAATATCCTATATAGTCAGATTAATACAAGAGAATAATTACTGAAAAAATTGGCTGAACTTCACGAGAAAAATATGTTTAATATTATTTTAGATTTTTTTAAATTTTATTTTTTTCATTTATTTTTATTTATTTATTTATTTATTTATTATTATTATTTAATTTTAGATGTCTTAAACGCAATACAAAATGATGACGGAAGTATGGAAATAGAAGGCAACAAAATTTCTTCTGACATGCAGACTGAAAACATCTCCAGTCAAGGAAGAGATTCTGAGTCAGATCCAGGTATAAAATACAAAAGTTAAACACATACACAACAAACAGTATGCTTACTGAATTCCATGCATACACGCCAAACACTATACTTACTAAATAAAGTTCTAGTGCTTTTTCTGCACTGATGTCCTAATCACATTCATGTAAAATGCTGTAATATGCATATTTTTAATAATTTATCAACACGTTAACCTTTATGTACATGTTTGTAGTAGTTGCGATTAAATCTAGAGACATACAATTTAGCCTCCTAATGAAGACCAAATACATAATATTTTGGAGCAGTCTTCAAATGTAAAAATTCAAACACATTTAATATGCACTGCGGATTGCAATAATTGTAAAAGCAAAACTTAAAAGTACTAAGTGACGCATTAACACTCAAATATATAATATATAAATTTACCCACATAATATATAAATTTACTCATTTCTATTGCAGATTGGTGTCCCCCGCACAAAACTTTAAATGGTAAAGTGAAGAAGAGACAAAAGAGAAAAATACCTGTTCGAAGAGTGTGGACTGAAGAAGAAAAGAAAGCTGTTGAAAAGCACCTGCTTTTGATTTATATTATATCGCAAATTACCAAGAGCTAATGAAATTAAGAAATGCATATCTGCTGAACCAGCGCTTACACAAAGGCAGTGGAAAAATGTGAAAGATTATTGCCGTAATCGTATCAAAATGTTACACAGAACACGATTTTAAATTGCAAAAGAAATTTTACTTACATATTAATTGTCTATAGGACTCTTTTTATTGTGTATTTCTTTAATACTATATTATTATAAGAAGATACTGCTCTTCTTATTATTTCTCTGCGATGTTTAAATTTCTAAACTCTTTTTTCTATCGAATTGTGGTTATTTGAACAATTTGTTGAATTTAAACAACCATGAAGTATTTAATTTTCAAACTTAATTTCTTTTGGGTTTTTATATTGATTTTCTGCATGTTATATATGTGCTGTGTAAGTGAATTCTAAATATTAAAATCGCATATTACCAGCAGTTTACTGTAGATAGATTTCCTGCATAAAAAGGATTTTTTTTTTTTTTTTTTTTTTTTAAGAAAAACGAATGTAGAAGAAATTGCAGATTATATTGTGAAATTATCTGTATTATCGCATGTAGTAGTTTTGATTGGAAAATGTACAGTAATTTGATTTCTAGCTGTCAAATCTAAATGTGTTAAATACTACTCAATTAGTCGTATAAATTATGTAGATAATTTAAAATGTTTTATAAAATCTTCAGTTACGGCGCCATAAGTTTTACTACTGAATAACTACTATAGTTTCGTGCATTGAGCGTTTTATTGCATAAGAAGTTCTGTTACAGTTATACACTCCTACAGTTCTATTACATAAGAAGCGAAAGCAATAAATCTTTTATTTTAAGTTATTTTAGATTTTTGCATGGTATTTCAAATTTCCTCCAACAAACGTTTAATAAAACCTCGTAATAAAACGTGGTTTCTTAATTGAGTTGTAGAAAATTAATATTAAAATTCAAATTCGTTGTTATTTAACGCATTGCACAAGCATTTTGTGTGTTAGTTTCGTGTATTATTTATTCATAATTATTTAATAAGAAAATTGAATGTTCCTTCTTCTAGGACTTTGTAATAACACATATAATATTCTTGAAAGAATACACCTGAAAGTTGTGAAACTTACGCAGTTTTATAACTTTCAAGTGTTTTCAATTCACCTAAATTTAGGCCCACCAGCGGCCGAGCGGTAAAATCGCTGAACACTGGTAGTTCGGTCCGAGTTTCGAATCTCGCGAACGGGCTGGCTGTATGGGCGTTTTCGTGGTTTTCCCCATGTGTAACGCGTATACGAGCCAGTTTTCCTTAGAAAGTCCTCGACGAAAGCATCCCTCCTCTTAGGCAGATAGTCCTCGAGGCTTTGCCATAATCCCCCACACACACTCACCTAAATTAATAACTTTGTTCTAATTGTTAAGCTGTATTTCTTTAATGGCATGTTATTAAAACCAGGCACTTGAAAGTTGTAAATATAGGTGGATTATTAAAACTATGTACACTTTGTCTGGTTTTTATAAATGCAATTACAGAAATACAGCTTAACAATTAGAGCAGATAGTATACGAAATAAGAGCATTATGCTAACTGAAAGTCATTGGGTGTTTAGCTTTCTGAAGATGCTTTATTTCTTTCAGTTAAATGCATAATAAAGTCTACTTTCACGACAAAAGCATACGTGGTATCATAAGTGAAGCTGCTGCTAGCATAAAATCCTGATTTGCGTTATTTGGCTAATTTTTGTATTAAACTTCTTTGCCAGAAAGTAATACTGCCAGAACGTAATAATAATTTGAAAAAGTAATCGCAGCATTAGTGTATTTTTTTAATTTGCCACATCTTTTAAGAAAACTAATATTTCTGATTCTATATGTGATGCAAAAGATATTATTGAATTCATCACAAGGAGTAAATAATGCACAGCAAATGTAACAATACCTTACAGCATCATATTGAAATTGATAGCAATGTATCCTCGTAAATATTTTATGAGATTCATAGAAGTTTTAACATGCTTTAGTTCAGGGGCGTAGCTAGAGTTTCCAGCGCCCGTGGACAACTGAAGAATTTGCGCCCCTTTCTGTGTGCCAAGAATGGAAAACATTTCATTAAAAAATTTCGTAGCATCAATTTGGCGCCCCTTGGATGTTGCGCCCGGGGACAGATGTCCCCCCTTGCCCCACCCTAGCTACGCCACTGCTTTAGTTAATACTAAGTTTACGTTTCTCGCATTAATTTTTTATGTATTAGTTAAAATGACTGATAAGATGGTTCTGTGCATCATTTCTATTACCAAATATTAACGCAGTTCTCTCTTATTTTAATGTAAAGAGCGGGTCATGAGTTCAGTTCTTTCTAACAAAAATAAAGGGTTTTTCAATAACAGTATCAGAAATTCACGTAATATAAGCAAATATTTAAGTGTTAACAGTGAACTTCAAAATTATTTTAATATAGGTACTCCATGGAAATCATTTTGTGCACAGTAGAATTCCAAATATCTAGACGTACTGAGATTACAATCCATAGGATTATGTAAATTCAGAGCATAAGTGTTGCCATTTTTCTTACTGGTCATTTGCGTAAATGGTAGAATGCAAGCGAGGAAATTTAAATTTTTTGCTTCATTTCGTGTAAAATAATTCACTTCTTCGATTAATTTAAAATACAATATTTTCAAGTTTAAAATATAATAATTCAAATAGAAAAAAATATAAAGTAAGTTATTTTTTCAACGTGTAATGTCTTGAAAAAATAAGATAATCGTTAATGGAATCAGATGGAATATAATATCATTTCCCCTCTAGAAGAAGAAAACCGTTTAACATAATTTAGTAGAGAAGTAACCCGTGATAGTAATTTCTGATACGCAATTTTGACATCATATTAGCACACTATGGTTCTTACTTGTATTATTAGGGAATAGTAACAATTTTGCTGTATGCTGTCTGTTAGATGCCTCTCTTCTGATTACGAATGATATTCTACGAATCTGATTTTATCACAGAATTTGACCAAACAAAGTCTGAGCAGGACATAGTATATGGAGAGTGATTTAATTTCATTATATATTTTTACTTATAAATAACATCTTTTTAAACTGCTTTAGATGACGACACTATTATTTCTAAGCTTTTAACAGTCTGACAGAAGTCATCATCGTAAATTGTAAGTTTTCAGAACGTACCTATAGACTTTTGATTACAAAACATCATGTGTTAACGTTTATCAAGGAAGCAGTAATATCCTCAAAACGCATCTTAGGAACATAAACAGGTAAAGCTGTTTTTTCACTTAGATGGCACCTTCATTTGTAGCATAAGGCTTAGGAAGTGATCATCTGGAATACTCTTGAGTACTTTCCTGCTCTCTATTGAATAGCCGTTATCTTAGAAAAAACCCAGAAATCTCAAACGAGCAACGTCATATAAATAAAGAGGATAGAATAATATATTTTCTATTGAAGCAGCATGTCGGGACTAGAAACTGCGCATCCTAAGCAAAGAATAGACTTTCTTTGGCCTAAATTCTCAGCGTAGCATTCAGGCTGCCCCGAAAACTAGAGTCGGCCGTTCATCTAGTACACGAAGGCTGGACTTTATAGGGAACAATGAATTCTTTGTGTCTTATTTATTTCATTTTCCGAAGGGACGCGTTTCAACTGGTTTGAGCACATGAGAGTTACTTGCCTAAGAAGACAGATGCTTTCATGGAGTACTTTCTAAGGGAAACTGGCGTGTATCACGTTACACTTTGGGAAAACTGAAAAAAAGAAAACCTGCAGCCAGTTTGCCCGGATTCGAACCCTAGTTGAACAGCATGTTTTTACCGACTTCACTACTCGCCCGCTGGTAGACCAGGTTAAAGGGTTATTCTTGTCATGTTCAATTGGAGCCAAACAGGAATGGACAGAATTCCTAGGAATTTACTAGAGAGTCCAAATACATCCTCAGCCCTGCTTGTAAGAAACTTGACCTGGAGCGGGCTAGGAATACATAATTGCCTTCCCGGACGATATTCACGATATATTTCTTTTCTACCTAAACGGTCTCATGATCTGGGGGGGGGATAATCCAAATCGGTGACAACTATATACTTTAGTTTGAAGTTCTAAAACCAGGGCACAAAATATATTTTAAATTTAAAAAAAATCGCACGCCGTGCCCGATTGGTAGTCCTGGAAGAACATACAACGAACATTTTTTGGTTTTTGAGATAAAACAACGTAAGCAACATCCACTGATTTATTTAACACAAATGCATTTCTTTCTTTTGATCTCCAGAATTTTATTACCCATTTCACACATGAGTATTCTACAGATTTTTTATTCACTTCGGTATCTTTTCTGAGAATAAAATCTAGAAAATTATTACAGAAAATTATACATTATTAAGTCATTTATTTCTAAATGATAATATCAACTCAGATACATAAAGAGGCATTTGAGTGAGAGACGAATAAAAACCAACCCCTTAACTTGTTGATATAAAAAACTGCTCACCAAGAGTAGTCTCCGGCAGTGTCTTATTCTGACTGGGTCAGTTTCTTCAATTACCGGTTGGTTTTAGCAAACTTTGTACACATAAATATATACATATTATACATATTTTACACATTTCTGTACTTTGAACTATTCTCTTCTTGTTATTCATATTCATATCTTTTTATGTTGGCTATTGATAAATCGATGATTATGATTAGAATATGATATATAAAACATTATGCTTGTTCACGTCGATCATAACAATTCCTAACATTGTTTTAAATAAATGACATTCGATTCGACAAAATGACATTCGATAACATTAGGAAAATTATATATGGGCATTAAATATTAAGAAAACTAAAAAAACTATTTAAAAACTTTGAAACATTTTATGCACATTTTTTTAGAAAGCTTAAAATAATTAAATTAAGCATTTCAGAAAGAACAATTTCATATTATTTTTAGTGAAGTAATCTTTTGTTCATGTTTAAAATAAAACTTTTTCCATTCGTTTTGGTTGAATGGAACAACGTTTTTCACTTTGTATTTGCCCCGATTTCGAAAACGTTCTTTCGGATGGTCCCGAGGTAGCCATGATCGATAAATATTTCTCTGCTAAAATTGAAAGTTCGGGGTAGAGTAATGCCCGCGCCTGCCACCATTTTAATGGGCACTCATTCCTAGAAAGAATGCGTTCCTCAAAATATTGCCTCATAGTGACGATGCTGGATACAGTTGAGTTTGAGACGGAGTTTGATGTCACTCTTGCA